CGGGGTCTCCCAATGAGCTCCCATTCCCTAAAGATTGTGCAATTAAACATGGGGAGAGCGGCGGCAGTCAACGACCTATTAACGGATTGCCAGGACATGGGAGTTGATATTGCAATGGTACAAGAACCATACACTAAATTAACGGGCTTTGAGGCAGCCCCGATGAGATCATACCTCTCAAAGGGAACACGACGAAGGGGCGGGCCCAACCATGGGGCAGCAATCATTGTTTTTAATGCCGATCTGGTCGTGGTCGCCAGGTCTGTGGGAACCATGGAGAATTTTGTTTCTGTCGATCTCGACTGCGCTGAGGAAGGGACAGTGACTCTAATCAGCGGGTACTTCAAGGACAGAGTACCCACCGCTATTCATGTCGAAGCGCTGGATATCCTCCACCGGTCTTCTGCTCCTGAGGTCCTCATAGCGCTAGATGCAAATGCGTTCTCCACTCGTTGGTTCAGCAGAATCAACGACCGGAGTCACGTGGCTGGACCACCAAGGCTTGCACACCGCGAACAAGCGGAGTGCACATAAGACTTTCGATGGGCCCAGGGGTCGCACCAACATTGACGTTACTGCCTGCAGTGAGGGGACTCTCGGGAAAATGAGGGACTGGGCTATCATCCCGGCAGTGACCTCCAGTGATCACAATCTGGTATCTTTTACCTTGGATCTGAGGATTAGAGAGTTCATCCACCGCGCCACCAGGTTTAACCTCCTCAGGACGAGCCATGGCATCTTCGGGCAGGAATATGAAGCCAGGTCCTCCCAAAGAGTAGATGAGGCCGAGGATTTAGACACTATGGCTATTCATATAAACGAGGACATAACGTATGCGGCTGTGCGGCATGCTCCCAGGAGCAAACCAAGGAAGAAGGCCTTGATGCCATGGTGGTCACCGGAGCTGGCCAGAAAAAGAAAGGAGGTGTGAGCGGCAGCGAGACTCAAGGCAGCCGGAGGTCAGCAACAACTTCGTGAGGAACGAGTATACCCAGTTGTTGAGAAGAAATAAAGTATCCTCGTGGAAGAATTTTTGTACTCTGGAGGGAAATCAGCCTTGGGGCAAATTATATCGTTGGATGAAGTGTGCTAACAAAGCTCGTGGAAGGAGATCTGGGACTGGTAAACGAGCAGGAGCTCAAGAAGCACGCATGGGCTCTGTCGCCGAATAGGGCTCCAGGTATGGACAGCATTACGGCCAAAATGATTCGTGTTCTCTGGCCGGCGATAGCCCCTAGACTAATGAAGATTGTGAACGAGTGCCTGAGGACAGCGCAATTCCCCAACAGCTGGAAGGCAGCCCAGGTGATTCCAATACTAAAGGGGCAGGACAGGGACACCGCGCTCCCTAAATCGTACAGGCCAGTGAGCCTGCTGCCTATCATGGGGAAAATTACAGAGAAGGTGATCAAACAATCGACTGAAAGAGCAGATAAGCCACAACCTGTCTGGGAAACAGTTTGTGTTCACGACTGAACGGTCGACTTTGGACGCGATTCAAAATCTGCTCACGTGGAGCGGTCTCCGAACGGAGCAATATGTAATAACGATTTTCCTAGACATATCCGGAGTTTTCGATAATTTAACGTGGCCGGCGTTGCAGCGAGACCTCGGTAGCCTGGGAGCCAGCCAGCACATGAGGAACCTCATAGCCGATTACCTTAGAGGCCGAACGGCCACTATGACAATAGGTGGCGTATCAAAAATAGTCCGAGTGACTAAGGGGTGCCCCCAAGGTTCCATTCTGGGACCCGTGCTTTGGAACGTGACTGTAGAAGCCCTACTTCGAACCGAATTCCCGGGGTACGTAAATGCACAGGCGTATGGAGATGACAATGCAATATCGGTAGCTGGACCTAACAGTTGCACCCTCATTGATCGGGCAGAGGCCACGCTACTGCCAGTTCTGGACTGGGCTTGGGACAGAGGAATTACCTTCTCCGCCCAAAAATCAGAAGCCATGATAACTAAAGGCGCTCTCGTCCCAGGCTTTACCCTATCCTTCGGGGAGGAAAGGATAGCGTAAGTCGACAATGTAAGATACCTGGGCGTGAGACTGGACCAGAAAAGGACTTTTTCGCCGCATAAAGAACACCTTAAGAACTCGTCGGAAACCTTGTTTTCGAGACTGAGAGGTACCATCGGAACAGGCTGGGGGATCAAAAGACAAAACATGATACTTTATCGGGGAGTCTTTTTGCCAAAGCTCGCATACGGCGCTCAATTCTGGGTTCATAAAATAAAGTCCCTTCAGTCAATTAAGACGTTTTACACTATTCAGAGAAGAGCCCTGCTGGGCATGACAAGTGCATATAATACCACGTCAACCGACGCTCTACAAGTCCTAGCGGGTGTTCAACCCCTGGACATCGAGATAAAATGGATAGTGCACAAGGCCGAGATTGCAATGCTCCCTGTCCAGCTGAGACGAGAGACATTGGACACAAAGAGGGAAAGTTTGCTAGACGAGTGGCAAAACAGATGGGAAAACACCCTAAAAGGTAGATGGACCTTCAGGTTTTTCCCCGATGTGAGAGATAGGCTACGATCACCCCTGGCCTTGGGCCACGAGGTTGTTCAATTCATGTCCGGACACGGAAATTTCCGGGCGAAACTAGCGGGCTTTAATTTGCAACCAGTTTCCACATGCGCTTGCGGAACGGGCGATGAGTACGCGGACAATGTGCTGTTCAGCTGTACTCTGCACGCAGAACACAGGGCACACCTAGAACTCGCGGTCCACAGAGCGGGATACCTATGGCCGTGCGATCCAACCATTTTGGTCTCTACAGCTAAGCTATATGCAGCGTTTGTGAGGTTCACTAAGATAGCGGCGTATATGGAACGTCCGTGATACGGAGCAGGACGGGCAAGAGTGCCACACTCCGCGCGCCAGAGTGCCACACTCCTCATGCGTTCTGAACGAGTTTCAAGGAGCGAGTAGGCAGAAGCGGTTCGCATGCGGAGCCGTCCTGAGGGGACACTCGTGCGTCGGGGACGCGGGCGGCGCTAACGCGTACAACGGAGTTCGGACAACCGGAGGCGCCTCGGTGAGTAGGTCACACCTACATCGGGCCCTGTGTCTGGGGCCATGGAAGAATACGGCGCTGGTGGTCCATAGACGACACTCTCGCGGCGGGGGCGCCTTGGCGCCCTCGCACCGGTGAACCTCTATGGCTCGTAACTAGTGCACAGCGCTAATACACGGTCCATAGTTGTAGCTGCAAGGCATCAAACCACGGATAATCATGTCCCTATCTACTATCTAGCGAAACCACAGCCAATGGAACGGGCTTGGAAAAGTCGTCGGGGAAAGAAGACCCTGTTGAGCTTGACAAATTTAAATCTGTGGGGATTAAGGGAAACCCGAAATCTGCCAGTTTAGTACAATTTTGCGCAAAGCTAGTTTCCTCGGCCGCACTAAAAGTTGTAGGACGGCCAATTTTCTTACCTTGTGATTTTTTAAGTTTATTTTTATAGTCGATCTTGGTATTTTAAAGTGTGCTGAGGCTGCGCGTTGGGTCATTGTTTTTGTAGTAATGGCTCTCAAACATCTCTCAAAAACTTCCGACTTATAGTTTACGTAGGTCCTTGAATCTAGTTCTCGTTTACGCTGCATCGTGGACTGTTATACAAAAAGGACAAAACAAAATTGAAGAACCATATAAATAAAGTAGGTAGGTTATACCTTTAGTACCTCAAAAGACCATTTGAAACATTAAAATAACATAATAATGCCAAAAAATAAAAAAAAATTCGGTACCTACTCAGATTTTATCTATCACTAACAAATAATTGTGGGACAAAGTTACCCCGGCCTCGAAAATGTAAGTTTAGAGCCACGCATTTGTTTTTATTTCAAATGTCTTAATAAATACTTTATTAGTACTATATTTGTGAAAATGTATCAGACTTACCGTGTTCAGCGACAATTATTTCATATAGCACGAGCAAAGAGTTTTTGAGAGCGTATTTTTTGGTCGAAAAACCGTTTTAACAAACATAATTTTTTTTGATAACAAGGCAAGTGATAACGGCAAAAACTGTTATCATATTCGGTTACCAGTGTTGTCAACTATCATAGACCTTATACTAATAGACGGGACATCCAGACGGAATGCGGGTGGGTGGTGCGGTCTTTCCTAGCGTACCAGCAGTGATGCCATTCCTTGCGACCAAAAACATTGTTATTAACACATACCATATTATAATTACAACTTCATTATTGTATACTGCATAAACCAAAGCCAAGTAGACTTATAAATTATAATCAGCTAGACTATAATAGTTCTATTGTAAGTAGGTACTAGTAAGTTGTAAGTATATAACAGTCTCATTTTTGGCTTTGTTTTCTATGCATTTAAATGCTTCGTCAGTAACACCGGGGTCACCATTAACAATTTTATACCATCTACTAATGCTTCTGGAATGAGGAAGCAAATTATTAAAACTTTTCCTTACATATTGGTATGCCTTGGTTGAATAAAATTGTAATGTTATAGCAAATTTTCTTATTTCAGACGAATAAGGCAGTTTTTGACCTTTCATATTTCTTTCTATTAAATAACGTAATGATTAGGAACCAATAGACTAGAAAGAATAAAATATAATTAAATGATGAAATATATATATATAATCAATAAATTATTTATAATATATATATATATATATATATATATATAATTTATTGATGAAACAGTTGAAAATTTCAAATCAGAACCAGAATATTGTGATAGTACGCGGTGTGTTGATAACACAGATATATAAAGTAACTAGATAGCCGACTCAAGAACTCCTCAGTGAATGGTTGTGATTCCTATCCGCCATATTGCAAGAGTACAAACAAAACTCAGCTGTAATGATACGAGTCATGATAACGTACATAGTCTACGAAAAACGGAATAACAAATTCGAAAATCTTGTGAAGTTGTGACTATAACAATTTTTATAGTCACTTGTGAGCAAAACTATTATTTACTATAAATTATAATCATACGAAAATGGTCGTGTATTGCTGTGTTGATGTATGCTTTAATCGACTAGAGTATGGTAGCAAAATTCATTTTTTTTCGTAAGTAAATAGCATAAACTTTATGTGAAATTGATTATTTCATTTTGTTTTATATTGTGACATTGCATTACATTAGATTTACATGACATTACCATGGATTACATTCATGGATCACCCTACCTTATTTTAAGCTTATTAGCTTAATTTCCAAAATAAATTTTTGTTATTTGATAGATTTCCATTGAAGAATGAATTTCGAACAACAGAATGGATGAAAGCAATCAACCGCAAAGGTTTTAAACCATCAGCATCAAGTAGGATATGCAGTGATCATTTTACGTTAAATGATTTTGAAAATTCTCCAGGTGGAAGCTATCACCTTTATTTGACAGACAAATCATGTCCTTCCATATTTCCTATAACATTTGATGAATCGCATAAGAAAAAAAATAAATCAACTTTTACAGAAGAATCTACATGTTCTCAAAATGTTGATTGTATCTTAGGTATAGAAGTATCTGAAAATGCTCCAGTACATGATAATGAAATTACTATTTCACGGGATAACTTGCTTATCAAAAATTCGAAGAACTTTATTTTATACTTCACCTAGATGTCAAAGAAAAAAAAACCAGACTCCTACAAAATCTTTGTTACGAAAAAAAATTAAGTTCTTGCAACTGAAAGCTAGACGCAACAAAATTAAAATTAACAATCTAAAAGATTTGCTAAAGGATCTCCAGGAAAAACAATTGTTGGAGAAGGATAGTGTATCATTAATGTTGGATAAGTTTGAAGACTTACCTCAGGAAATATTAGCAAATATGATTAAAAATAAAAGTAGGAAAAAAACTGGTTGCCGGTATACTAAAACAATTAAAGAATTTGCTTTATTAATTTATACTTTTTTCTTGGGTATTGAATAATATTTTATTCTATTTATGCTTCTTAGAGATTTAACATGAGTAGTACAGACTAGCTGTAATTTAGAAACGGTTCGTTTCATTCCATTATTAGAGGCTTTGGTTATTGCTTTAACTACTTTAAATACTGCAGCTAAGCATAAAATTTGAAATATAATTCAATATAAATTCAAAATACATTATTAATATAAATGGATTAATCATTTATGTATATGTATGTATATATATATATATAACATTACTTACTAATATTGTATACCAGGTGTCACCAAATTAATTTTTTTGGTCCTAGAAAACTACCATAGTTCCTAATATGGCCCTCCCTCCAAAAATATTATTTATAGTCGGGGCCAAACGAATGTGCGGTTGGTGGCTCCGCCCACTAGGCGATATCACACTGAATAGTGAGTAACAGCTGCTGGCGGTATATTTGAAAATAAAGTAACGGCGCTATTCATGTGTGAACGTTACCTAAAACTATGAGTTCTAATTAGTCGCCGGCAAAAGTAGGCGGAGCCACCAACCGCACATTCGTTTGGCCCCGACTCTAGTGACCGCTGCTATATACTATTCATTACTTAAAATATTGTTATGTAATTGAAATTGTCTATAGCTTGTTGTGTGTTTGTGGCATAACCTTAAAAAATATCTCTTTATAGATCTGTACTAGCACGTCCACATTCAAAATCAATTAAAAATTGGACTTCCTCTGTTAATGGAGAACCAGAATTTCTCCATGAAGTTTTGAGAGCATTAGATACATTACATCCAGAAGACAAGCATTGCAATTTGACTTTCGATGCAATGTCTGTCTATAAGAAGACAGGTAATCTGGAATGATAAAGCTAATAAATTTGTTGGTTACTGTGATTTTGGTAATGATCTACAACTCGAAGGAAATCAAGTAGAAGCAACAGAGGTATTAGTGTTTATGCTTATAAGCTTAAACGGAAAATGGAAACTTCCAATTGGTTATTTTTTTTAAAACAAAATCAAATCTCAAGTACAGGCTGAACTTATCAATACTGCATTGAAACTTACTTATGATATAGGAATAACTATATGGGGGATTATATGTGATGGAGTGTACACAAATATATCTACGATGAAAATTTTAGGATGTAAAATGAATGTAGATAGGTATGAGGATATTATATCATGGTTTCCTCATCCTATAAATAAGTCTAAAGTGTAGTATGTGTCAGATGCTTGCCATAATTTAAAACTATCTAGAAACGTTTTAGGAAACTGTAGTATATTAGAATCAACTAAAGGAACATATTAATTCATTGGGAACATATTTCTAACCTTAATACTGTTCAAAATGACTTCACATTAAAATTCTCTAACAAGTTATCCATGGCTCATATTAACTGGAGAAATAATAAAATGAAAGTTAAATATGCAGCACAAACTTTAAGCGCTTCAACAGCTGATGCTCTAGAGTTTTTGAAATAAATTCACTTTCCAAAATTTTCTAACGTTGATGGTACAATTGAATATTGTCGAGTGATAGACAGAATATTTGATTTTTTAAACTCAAAAAGTATTTTTTCTAAAAGTTTTAAAGCACCACGTTCTATGAAAAATATTGAAACTTTGAAAGAAGTTATAATACCTCTTATACATTATTTATATAAATTAAAGTTTGATGGAAAATTCTTGTATAAGTCAGATAAAAAAACATTTATTATAGGTTTTGCTGTTGCGATACAATCTATGTTCAGCATTGCTCAAGAAATATTTTCTAATTATGGTGAAATGAAATTTAGTTATATTTTAACATATAAGTTTTCACAAGACCACGTAGAGATATTTTTCGGGCAAATTCGTCAACGATTTGGGTGTAACAACAATCCAAATGTTATGCAGTTTATAACCGCTATGAAACAGCTGTTGCTGAAAAATTTTATTAAATGCAAAAATAATGGTAACTGTAATGTTTTTGACGATGATTTAGTTGGTGGTATTTTTGATTTCAAGTGGAGTAGATGTAAGGTTGTCAATTATGAAAATCAAACTCTTGATGACGATGTTTCACAAAGAGCATTACTTTTAAATAGTACAAATTCAGATTTAAATCTAGCTAAAAATAACATACTGAATTACATTTTGGGTTACATTGTAAGGAAAATGATTAATATTTTAGATTATTGTGAATCGTGTATACAAAATCTTTTTGAAACAACATCCGATCATAGTTATGCACATAAATCAACATATTCTCGTTTTGTAGATTTTAAAAACAGAGGAGGGCTTATATCAGGTTCAGATAGTGCATTTAAAGTAATAATAGAAGCAGAAAAAATGTTTCTTATATTAACAAATAATTTAAAAAAAGTCAATGTACAAAATTTAGATATTTTAATCATACCCCACTGTATTAAAAAATGTTCTATGGATAAAACTATTTTTTCATACTTAAACTGTAAAAATATTACTTTGACAGACAAGCCACACAAAATTGTTCTCATTACAGTTTTAACAAAACAATTTTTAACTTTAAGATTCAAGTCATATGGAAAAATGTTGTCAGTTAATACTTTGAATCCAAAAAGTCAAATACATAAACTTAATAAACTTGTATTGTTTGCAAATCAATAATAGGTAGTTCCTGTTTTTATATAAAATTTCTATATCTATCATTAAATTCAAGCATCTCATAATATAGGTATTAAGCAAATAGTTTGTAATAAATTTGTAATATCCTCATAAATAAAAGTACTTATTTATCTGTTAATTTGTGTTTTATTTATTTAAGCTTGTACAGTTACAAAGTGTATATTATGTACAAAAAAAGTACCTCTTATGATGTAGTAGAACACTATATAATCGTTATAATGCTTTTTCAGGAGAAAAGTTTTTATATTTTTATTAGCTATTTTTTTTTTTTATAGTAACTAGTTCAACAATCAATTGCTTAAGAACTATCTAGTTGTATTGACAAACTTGCACTATATTACAATACATTTTCTATGACAAATCCATTGATATATCGACAACAGCATCTACAGTCTACTTAGCACCCACTCTGCACTCATTACCACATTTACATAAATTGTAAAATGAAAACTGTAATATACTAAATTAATCAAATTTAAAAAAATGTTTTCGATTAATGTTGATCATTTTATAAAAATTGATAAGAATGATAACATTGTTTGCACTCTTAGCAAATGGCGGCTAGGAATCAGAAAAAGTCGGGAGTCGGCTATATTCTAGTTACTTTATATATCTGTGGGCGCATGTGTGCAACTGCGCAAGTAGAAATAAAAATTAATGTACAATCCTATAGGTCTTATGCGCATATGCGGTGTACGGTGTACTAGGTTGATCAGCGCCATCACGCTTGGACACCGGAACTACTACCACGTACCGTCTATTAGTATAAGGTCTATGTCAACTATCGAAAACCATCACAACATTTTGATAATAGTCACATGTCTTATCACAGCATACAAAGGTATGTGAAATTTCAACGGTGGGACAAAGTTACCACCCGGGGCCAAAGTATCCCCGGTTTACGGTACGTCTGTTTAATGTTTTAAGTAATAATAATTTTGAACTTTTTTTCGCATTTATTATAGTCGGCGTGTAGCTCATTATTTATTAATGTAAATCGATAGGTATATGTATAAGAATAAAATATTAAAACCTATAAAATAATAGGTCAATTCACTCATATTTATTTAAGCTAACGACACAAAATTGGAATAACTGGATGTACATTTTGAAGCACAAGGCACAAGCTCATTGAATGTTGGTTGTATCGTCTTAAAATCTTCGAGGTTCAACGCAGTGACACCTTGAGATCAATTTTCTGTACTCAAAAAAGCCGAGTCTCGATTTTAAGTTTAAGATTTTGGCAAAAGAAAATTCTTTTTTGAATAATTTAAACTTTTAACTCAACACTCACCCCCTTAATATTTGATTTAAAAAACTTTTAAAAACTGAGAACTGGTCTAGAGACGCTTCAATTATTAAGAAGATAAATTACATGTTCAAAATTTAAATTATTCAAAAAAGAAATTGGCGGCAAATATTATTTGGCCAATTTCTTAAACTTAAAATCGAGACTCGGCTTTTTTGAGTACAGAAATTTGATCTCGAGGTGTCACTGCGTTGAACCTCGAAGATTTCAAGACGATACAACCAACATTCAATGAGCTTGTGCCTTGTACTTCAAAATGTACATCCAGTTATTCAAATTTTGTGTCGTTAGCTCAATGATTAAGCTCATGATTAAACTCAACACCAGATGGTGTTGAACAACTCGTTGTTTTAAATTACTTGACAATTAAATTTATTTGCGGTTTATTTATCAATAATTAAATACTTTTATGGAATATTTATGCAATTTACTTGTTGCAAATTTTTAGAAATTAATCATTATGTCGTCATTCATCATACAACTCATAATTATTTACAGAACCATTACGTGCACATTGTGGCTGCAGATGTGCAAAAAAACCAAAACAACATATAACGTAGTAATTTCAGCTGTAAGGTCGTCCACAAGGGGTAAGTTTATATAACTTAATAATTACCCAATATATTAAGTTTTTGGTTACACAATTTTTGGAATGGCCCATGCCGTAATTTTCCGGCAGGGCCTCAAATCAATCAAATTTCTACTAACAAATATAACTCATAAGCGAGATTTCCACTGATGTTGTTATTTCAAATATTT